AAAAAAAAAAAAAAAAGAAAAGAAAAGAAAAGAAAAGAAAAGAAAAGGGGTCAGTTCACAAGAAAACTTTTTTGTGGTCTTTGCAGTTGATTTGTCACTGCCACATGTCATCAAGGGCATGAGGATCTGAGAAAGGGCCAACTTCACCGAGAAAACTTCTTTGAGCTCTTGCAGGTGATTTCTCGGTGGCACATGTCACTGATTTACTGGACTCGCTGTGATTGCATTGAACATTGAACAGGTCGGCTTGCTGGCAAGCAATGTCCTCATCAGAGGGTCACCTGTGGAGGATGGATTTGATGGGAGATACGGTTGCCGAATCGATGTGGCGCGATTCGACGTCTTCAGTGGGGTGGCTATGGTGAGTCTTGACTTTTTTTGCAGATCCATTTCCACAAAAAGTTAGACCTCAGAGGACGGGTCACGTGGGGATGCCGTCCAAAGTTCAACATTTGCAATCTTCACTCCGTCATGTCCCATACTCTAAGCTCCACAAGAACTCGTACGCAGAGATTCAAGGACTTGAAGATTGAAGAAGAAGAAAGGAAGATGTAATAACCTGCAAAATTGCAGACTGTGAAACCTGTGTTTTTCTGAGCTTTTGTCACAGTTCTGTGTGCTTGCTGGATTCCTGGTGTCTGAGTTCGTGTGAGGTCCGTGTGATTGCCCGAAGTGCCTGTGTGTGCATGTGTGCGGTTGAGTGTGTGGATTGGTGTGTGTTGAGGCACACGGGCCTGGTACTAACCCTGTGCCATGGATGGACTTGTGCAGCGGGGAGCTTAGATGGGAAAGTCGGCCCACGGTAGCCAAAAAAAGAAAGTAGCAGCGGGCAGTTGGCAGAAAAGGACAAAAAGGTAATACCTTTGGGGAAGGCCGAAGTAGTGTTTAGAGGTCTGGTAGGTCTGGGTGTAGGACTGAGAAAGGCACCGGCCTGGGCAGAACCTAACTCTAGGGCCTGCAGGGGAAATACCGGACTTCAGTGATGTTCCCGCCAAAAAGGAAGTGAACCGGTAGGCCCTGGAGGCCGCCGCTGCTTGGAAAATCGTTAGGGATAGAGGCAGCCACCAAGTGGATGAGGAGCGGTGAGTTGCGTCGCCTCATTCTGCTCATGCCATGCGCTTGGTGGGTGAAGCGCCAAGCAGCAGCAGCAAGGTGGAGCTGCTGCCCAGTTTGGCTATGGTGTTTAGACCCATGGTGAGGTAGGAGAAAGGCATGGTTATGGCAGAGAAAAGACAGAGGAAGGAGGAAGGAGGAGCAGTGAATGGGGAGACTTTACCTCGGCTATGGCGGACTGCATCTTCATCTCCTTGGTTATTGCTGCACCTGGAAGGCCCCTGGTTGGGGTTGTGAAGTGAGGAGGACTCTTGAGGGTGAAGTAAAGCAAGTGATAGGAGTGTGTGGCAGACACTGCATTGTCATTTGAACATCAATCTAGACATGGATGCTGCTGCCATCGCCGATGCTCAGTAGTGGTGGGGGTTGTAGGTGGTCCACAGTGACTTCTTGTGAGGCCGACAGTAAGGAGGAGATGCGGACATTCAATTCTGGCTCATTCATCACTACATTATAACAATCGCTATTTGGCCTCCTGTGACCAGTAGCCGATCTGGGCACTGGGTTTCCTTGGGGCGTGACGGTCCAGATTGGCTGCTGATCGTTTTCGCTGTCATCAACTTGCATCTGGACCGTCATCGGCGTTGTAGCGCATGGTCCAGATTGCGTGTTGACCGTTTGGAGACGATCGTCGGGCCAGTAGGCCCTGGCGTCGGGTTCTGAACGCATATGGTTTGGGATAATCCGGAGGGTGACACTCTGGGTCATATGGAAGGAGAGATGCAACAGAACGTTGGATAAATCGAGCAATCCGAGTGAGCAGGTATGGGCAACGACGAGATTATTAATGGAAACGGAGATTCTCTGTCAATGGAAGAAAGTCAATATCTAAATTCAGCAGAACCCAGAGAAGCAGCAAGAGACAATAACCAAGTTCAAGAAGGTATGGTTGCTTCAAGGAACGATAGGTGATATTCATGGAGTTCACCTCAAATGGAGAGATTGGTACAGCTGTACTGGCGCCAGAGGTCATTTGCTTTCACCGGTCTGACCAATAAGACTTCAGAGCTACATAAGGCGATCCAGGGTCACTTCAGTGGTTGATCTCTGTTTTCCTTGCATTAATGTTTAGCTCACAGGTTCTTTCAGAGGAACCTGAGAGGGATTACGGGGAAGGGCAAGCTGACAGTCAATCCTCCAGTAAAATGGAGCAATCAATGCTGTTCAGGGACCTTTCGGCCGGACGGGAGGGTGCGTGAGTGTGTACAAGGTGTAATACTGACTGTTTTTGCCGACCTGCCAGGGGAATATGAACCGGACTGACGCCCCCCGGAATGAATATGTAGCCAGGACAGTAAGGACCACACATTCCAGTCTTGCTAACTCTCTGTATTGGCAGATTATACACGGCCTAATTATTTCCCCTGCTTTAGAGCATGGGCTGTTTGGGTGTTTACGGGTGGCCACGAGTTCTCTCTGGGGGAAATGTATGTTTTGTGGGCCGACGTGGAAGGCTTTCCCAGTTTTTCCGGACCCTTAGCAGGGGGGGTCGGTGTGTTCTTGCTGGAGGAGTCTTCTGTCTTAGGTAAGTTGTCTCTTATCTTCTTCATCCTCTTTGGCAGTGATGCGAGTATGTAGTTTGAGATGAATGTCGGGAATGCCAATACTGTTATATTTTTTGTTTCTGGTAAATGAGTTTCCGATAGATGGAGCAGCCTGGTAGGCAAAGCCTCTCTCCGTGGTTCTCTTACCACTACCGGGATAGAGACTTTGCAATGGCCTTTAAAAACAAAAACAAAAACAAAACAAAAACAAAAACAAAACAAAAACAAAAACAAAACAAAAACAAAACAAAAACAAAGTGCTAGGTTTTGTGGGCTGATGCTGAAGGCTCTCCTAGTTTTTTCGGACCTTTGAGGGGATCAGGTCGGTGCCTTCTTGCTGGAGTAGTCTTCCATCTGAGGTAAGTTGCCTTCTGCCCTCCATCCCCTTATATCATACTTGCAAGCGCACGTCGTGTGGGCGGTTCCCTACGTGCGGTGCACGCGCCCAACCGATCCCGTGCGGCGCACGACGTGTGCGGGGAACGACCCATCACCCCCTTCAGAAAAAAAAAAAGAAGGCCGGGGTCGAAACGGTGCGTTTGAGGCTCCCCGCCAAAATTATAAGCGAGATGAAAAAAACATTTATAGGAGTACTGCCTCACCTTTTTCCTCCTCCCCTTCCTCATCCTCCATGTCTCTTCCTCCCTTCTCCTTTTCGTCTCCTCCTCCTCCTCCTCCTCCTGTTTGTCCTCCTCCTCCTGCCCTTCCTCATCCTCCGTGTCTCCTCCTCCTCCTCGTACTTCCTCATCTTCCATGCCTCCTCATCTCCTTCCCTTCCTCGTGTCCTTCCCTTCCTCGCCGTCCATGTCTCCTCCTCGTCCTCCTTCCCTTCCTCTTTTTCCTCCGTCCACCTCTTCTCCTCCCCCATCTCGACTCCTCCTCGTCGTCCTCACTATCCTCATCGTCCTCCTCTGCCACATTCTCCCCCTCCTCTCCATATCCCCCTCTCCTCGCCATATCCCCATCTTCCTGTCATACCCCCCTGTTCCCCCTCCCAAAAAAAGATAAAATAATAATAATAAAAATAAAAAACCTACACGATTCCGCACAGGCACCCCGTGCACGGAACTCCACACGAATGTGCGGCTCGTGCGGTTGCAAGTATGCCTTATATGGTTTGAAATATATATACATGCCTCTGACCACTGGGAGCTGTGGGACAACGGCACCATGGTCCATGCCATGATTGATGTCACTAATTTCTTACAAAATGATGCTGTTTTCTTGCCACAACAAACCGTCCACAATCTCTTTTATGTCGAAGATCATTCCTCTGGCCCCGTTGTCGCGCCGAATACCCTTACAAGGGTATTTGTGCGCATTCTTGCATCTCGCAGAGATGCATTTTTGATAATATGTGAGAGAGTGTCTCATTTTTGTGTGACCATAACCAACTCTCAGGGGTTGGGAATGGCGCGCGCTTCTGATCTGATTAGAGAGTGCGTGGGCGTGCACTTCGAGGGCACGCAAGGGTTTTTAGGCGGACATCTGGTTATGTTTATGAGAGCGGCGCTGACGCCTAGTAGCGTGAACTAGAAAAGGGTTGTGAGACGACTACAATAGTGCACGCAGAGTGTATTTGCGTTCGAGACTGGCGCTTGATGGTCAGGGTTAGGATTTAGTCATTAAAACCATTGACTTACTTGAGGTAGCGTTAAGGTCAGCATTGTGCAAAGCGGATGAGTTCCTAGGTTTACCATGTTTGGTCAACGGTAGAAGTCGAGAGAGACACTATAAAGGTTGGGGTGAGTAAGGGGTAACATCGACGAAGGTCAGGGTTCTTCCAACGCTTAGGTGATAAAAGTACAGTTTTTCGGGAAGGGTAGCGCACTAAGAAAGTTAGGGTTCTAGCAGCAGCGCGATGGTGTCACGTACGCGTTAGCCACAAATAAAGTTGAGCCCTTCATGCAGCAAGGGCCAGTACATAGGAAGCCTTGAAATGGTCGGTGTGCCTTAAGTACGGCCTTTCGTATAGTCCGTCAGGCTTAGGCTTGAACCGGATGTAGGCCTCCTACACCCAGACTTGGGCCTAGCCCGATAGGTTACGACTTTGAACTGATACGACGAAGATCCGGGGATCGAAGCCAGCAGCCGGCAACGAAGGAGCGGAGGAGCATCTTGCAATGAAACTGAGGGGTTGACGGTCCCGCGGGACTATCCCCCTTAGTTTTGACACGGAGATTGATTGTGGGTTCCGAGTACCAGTCTCGGGACCGGTCGTGGACCCAAGAGCCTAGCTCGGTGGGTACGCCCATGAACTGTTGAAAATGCAGACCAGAGTTCGAATCCAGATGATGGAACTTGATTAACGACTAAAGCGGAATATGTCTGAATTGTCTGGGACCGGTCAGCCCAATGATAATATCTTTAGGCCAACGTGGGGGCTAATGGGCTTGACTCAGTTTGTATACCCCTTGAATTGTAACCGTTAAAAATACATGCCTAAGCTCGTTTTCCATTAGAAGCAGATGGGTAAAATGCTGCTTTCTCGGAATTACGGAAGATCGGTCAGTTCGATGGTGATTACCCAAGGCTGTAACTCGACACAGTCCTTCGGGACATTCGTTAAAATTGGAATGATGCAGAGGAGGCTAGCATGACCCCTCCGCAAGGCTGGCAAGCGTACAACATGTTATCTCCATCTGAAACCTAGCCAGCAAAGAAGGGCAAATACGTATTAGCACAAATTGCCTACGCTCGACCAGTTCAGGCATAAAAGGAAGGGTGAGCGGGAGGAAGAGTTTGACGGAGCTCTGAGTGGGAGATTGAGAGCTGCAGGATCGAGTGCGACAAGTTGCGGAGAGGGGGCAACGGAGAACGTAGAAGGCGAAGAAGAAGAAAGGTGGGATATTGTGGGCTGGATAACTCATACCTCGCTCGTTCCTGATTGGAATCGGGCAAACGAAGACTCGATGTTGGGGTTTTAAGGCACTGCGAGTTGAATGGGCGGACCAGATTCAGTGATTGAGCACGGTATTAGTCGCAGCCAGCATAATGAACTGCGCGAGACTTAGTTTTACTTGACGAGAGGGGATATGCGTAGGAAGGGAAAGAGTCGAGAAGGAGAAGAAGACAAAGAGGGGGAAAGGCCCTCACTTGGTGATCGTCATCGCAGTCGTCATAGAGATCCCGACTATTGCTTATCATGATGGTCATGCTCCTCGCCGTGACCATGCCGCTTGCTCCAAGGGTCTTCATTTTGTTTTAGCGATGGTTGTTTGATCTTCCGTTGTGAGGCTCCCCATTCATGGCAGTGTTACTTGTTCACTGCATTCGCGTTTTCAATATGCTTATGGTGTCTATCTCGATTGATTGAATCTGTTCAGGTTGATGACCAGGTACATTCGCATGCTGAAAGCAGCAGACGCGAGAGTGAGAACAAAGGTGAAAGAGCGGGATAAAGGGTAAGAAGGAAGGCATAACTTTGAGTCTAAGAGCGAGATAGGAAGTTAGTAAGGTGAGCTCAATGGGAAAAGGAGGTAAAGAAGAGGAAGGAGTGGGACAACGAAAGCGATCTTCGTTGTAGGTAATGTCGAATGTATCTTCCCAGGTTCTTGCGGAGATTCATTCTCATTTAGCATATTTAGTAGTAGCAGGGCGCGGCCCACCATAACGCACCTCGACTCACCACCATGGTTGTCGCTGACAAGATTGTGCGCTCTGCCTCCGTCGTCCTCGCAGCTCTCATCAACGACCGCCGCTTGTTTTCGATAACATTGTAGTAGTGCCACTTACCTTGTGACCACCGAGATAGTGCAACTGCTGCCTCTGACATCATGGTAGTGATCTTCCTGACCGATGTTGAGGCCGAACTCTTCCTAACACCGGGGGCTGCACGTCGATCCCTTCACCTGAGCAGTTGTTTCTCTCATACGGACGTTGAGGAAAGTGCATGAATATGGCTGACGTATCAGCCAGATACGCAGACTGGAAGAAGACGGTTAGTAGGAGAAAGTGGGGGCATGTGCATGAACGCACTAGAGAGAGAGAGAGAGAGAGAGAGAGAGAGAGAGAGAGAGAGAGAGAGAGAGAGAGAGAGAGAGAGAGAGTACCGACTAGATCGAGCGGAGTTGGGCACACAGTATTGCACCTGAGGGCTTTTGGACCTGGCCAGGTTCAGGCAACAAATTCACTCCCATTTGCTAGATCTGGGCGCAGTAGCATGGGGGCCGGACGGGTATATCCTCCCGTGTTCTAGCGAAAGATTCATGCCGATTTTGGTTGTCTTATGGATAAAAAACTCTCTCCTTCTCTCTCATGTGCAACCATATTTGCATTTGATGGCTCCTTAGTTCATACTCGCACCAGGATTTCTTTTTCTATCGATTGCGGTATATCTTCTTTTTGTGGCGAAGGACTGCCCACATGATGATACGTACGACGAATGCCACCTTACGAGACACCCTTTTCCCAATCTAGCGTGAGATTCATTCTCACTTGGTTTGTTTTGGTGGGAAGAGGCTGCCCCTCGTCATCAATGATAGTTGACTCCTCGTTCGTCCTGGTGGTCAACGGTTCATTATAGTTGTGACCATGTTTGTCGCCGTCATCCGCATGCCCGTGCTCAAAAGGAGGGAGAACGGGCGGCATGCCATTTAGTGATGACAAGGAAGGGGGGTATCAACGGAGGAGTAAGAGAAAAAGGAAGTGGTGATAAGTAGGAAGTGAGGAACTTACTGGGTAGGAAGTACGGTGTTTTTCCGTGTCCTGCGGCATTGCAGACGGCAATCAACGAGCGACGTTTTACAA